TGGTTCATATTTTGAAAATCTGATTATCTTATATGGGATTTAAGCAACATTGTAAAACATATTTTTTAAAAAATGGGGGTGGGGGCATATGGTGCTTGAAAAAGTTGCTGACCCCTATGCTAGAATGTGCACCATGAATACCTGAATAGACAATGGGAATACATCTTTGACAAAATTAAATAAAAGTAACCATGAAATGTCATCAACTACTGGAATGGAGCTTTTTTATAAAATATAACTATGTAGAACATTATACCAACAACAGGAGCGTCATTCATAATACCTACAGATTGTACTAAACAACCCTCAGCGTTTCCCAGAGATCTAAACAGCAGTTCCATCTTGCAACCAGTCCTGGGACAACTGGCATTTATAGCATCACAGGCGCATCAGTGCTAACAAACTTAAATCAACTTTATGTGAAACCGTTCTTTGAAGCAGACACCATATGCAGAGGAGGAAGCCAAGCTGGAAACCAGCCTTACTGAATGCTCTGCTTGTGTGTGTCATTGCTGACCGACAAAAATGATATCAACAGCAGGTAGCGGTTCTATTTTGATACAAGAGTCCTTCCTCTGAAACCAAACCACATTCTGCAAATCACTGAAGTAGCCAAGGGACTAAGACCATTTTTTGAAGGAAGGGGCACCTCAAAAACTAGACTGAATAGGAGTTGTGTTCTTCAGTGCAGGGCCATTGAAATTTAACAAACATCACTGGGTAGCATCCATGCAAAGGCTTTAAAAACAAAATACAATCAATTTTAATTGGCCTCCTTACAGGACCATTAGAGGACAGCTACCGAGCGACCGACAATTGAAAAGGAAAGGAACTGAAAGCTGTAAACTTTCTACACCAGCCTTCCGAAACTAATGGTCTTCTGATGGTACTATCTAAACCAGCTTTCCAAAACTGATGGTCTTTGATATCATATTTAACTCCCATAATCCCAAGCCAGTACAACTATTGGTTACCCCCTGCCCCATCTCAGCAAGATTATATACAAAGGTATAAAAATGGGCAATCCACGCAAACAAAGTTGGATCCTCCCCTAGAAGTTAAAAGTCAGAACTAGTCTTAAGTTTCTAATAAATATGTATGCTGTAGAGCAGTGCTTCTCAACCTTGGCAACTTTAGGATGGGTGGACTTCAACTCCCAGAATTCCCCAGCCAGCCATGCTGGCTGGGGAATTCTGGGAGTTGAAGCCCATCCATCTTATAGTTGTCAAGCTTGAGAAACACTGCTGTAGAGAATATGATAGAAGATACACCTTCTTCTCATAATGCAAGAACTCTGAATCACCCAGTGCAATAGACTGGTAACAGATCCAAGTCCTTGGATTGGATGCTGCTATAAAAAGTGGTTTACAGAGAATCCATGGCTGTAAACCAGGGAAGTTAAGCAAGGGGTGTGTGTGTGTGTGTGTGTTTTGCAATCTGGCATCTTTCAGTTGGGTTGGACTACAATTTCCATCATCTCCAGCCTGCGTGAGCTTGGCCATTTGAGCCAAGCATGATGACCCTTGTTCTAGGTTGCACACAATGAACACCAACGAGCATCGCTTGTTAATTGCAGACTGGGAACCCTGTTACCCCCAAGTATTGGGAGCATCTGGGGGAAGGGGGCACATTGTTTGAATCAGGAACGTAGAATAGGCGGAGGCTTGGTTGGACTCAGAAAGGCAATTTTCAGATTTTCTTGAACACATGGAACAGTTTATCCAACTTTCTGATCCCCTTGGTGAAGCCAATTCAGTCCTATGCTGGATCATTACATCCAGTGACTGAGGTTGTATCATTCTAATTCAAACCCATCAAGAACTAAACTAAATTCTCCATCTCTTACAAACCCTGCAGAAAACTGCAGCCTTGTGCCCAATATCAAGCCAACGTTATTTGTTTGACATGCATAGACGGGTTCACTATCAACAGAAAGACTGTATGAAAAAAGCCAGGTAGATAATGTAATCTGAAACAACACACAGAAAGATTCCAATACAAAAAAGATCTGTGGAAACCAACACGGGTATTAAAAAATTATGAATGCAGAACACTGGTAGAATTGAGGTGGTTTGATTCAGGTGGGCTGACCTATTGCATATGCCCACTTGTTAAATCACAGGACTGCCTTACCTCTGAATGCTTATGAAATGTATGTTTAGATGGGCATTACAATGTTGGTGTTCTCTCTTAATATTTTAAACCACCTGCATACAACTAAAAGTAATAACATGGACAGTTTAGGAAAAAAAAATCCTCTTAAACCAGTTGAAAGATCTGAAGATCTAATCAGGAGATTAGTATGTGCAAGAGAGGAGAGGCCACCACTGAAGCCACAAAAAAATCACCTGAAAGAAGACAAGGACATCAAGCAAAAGCTAGCCAGGATATCGGGGATCTGCTCCCTACCCAACCCTTTTTAAAAACAAGCATGACTTCCATCTCTCTAGGGGCCAAAGGTTAACACAGCTAAGTTTTATATCATGCAGTTGAGCATGATGTTATTTCAGACCCAGCAAGCAGGTCTTCCTTCGGCTCCAGATGTGCTAAGACTGCACTTCCCAAAAGCCAGGCTGGCTGAGAATCCTGGGAGCTACAGATGCAATACAGCTGGGCGATTCCAGACTGGGGAAGGTCATCACAAGCACCGCGGGTAAGAATGGCTGCCAGAATTGAGAACTACCGCCCTACTGGCAGATCGGTTAAGCCAAAACTTGTAAGCGGGCAGTTTTGACAACTGCAAAACATAGTTTAGAGGTTCAGGAAAAACAATCCAAATGATCAGCAATTTCAGTTATGAACACAAAATATGTATTTGTGTTCATGCTATAGAGAATCAGCTCATCTTTTTCCAATCCTACACTAATTTGGTTTCAGGAAATTGTATTTTACTGGTCTGCCAAAGAACTGAAGCTACTATAGTTCATTTTTAGGTGGGTACCACTTTGTTCCAACATCTCTTTCAGGGTTTGGAGGCAGCTGAAGACCCCCAAAAGGCTTAGACCCCCTTCTCCATGTTCACATTCAACACGTGACTAGTACCTAACCAACTTGTTAACACTCCCCATTTTTAAACCCTAGAGAGCAGTTAGTTCATCCCCGAGATAACCTGTTTTCACACCACCATTCCAGAGGGCAACCCTGGGGTTTTCACCTGCCTGTTCATTTTAACTAGGCTAACAGCAGCTTTTCATTTTTATTCCAACACCAAGTGACAACTGCTTTCAATTTTCAACACACCATGGAGAGAAAAGCATTTGTGAGCGTAAAGCAGCAGCTTCTTCAAGGGATCTTTTTGTTCAGCAGTGACTTCCTTCTCTAAAACCTGGAGGATGTGTGGTTTGTGTAACAAATGAGGTTGCCAGTATTCAACAGTATATTGTCGGCTGCTGAGAAGTGTGAGATGTATATTTTTATATATACACGCAAAAAAAAAGAGTGAGGTAGATAAAATGTTTGAAAACAAAATAAAAACTGTCCTGTCATAACTCAAAGAAAAAAAAAACCCAAAAAAACCCTTATCTCAGTATTTAAAATGTATTATGGGGCATTTCTACAGTGATTTAAACTGACAGCACAAAAAATAAATAAAAAAAATCCTACATAGGATACTTTTTTTTTTCCTTTTCTTTCTTTTTTTTTTTCTTTAAAGGGGAAAATAACTAACTATGGGGAGGTGAAAAGATGGTGGGACTGTAGCTACGCAGGCAAGAAAAAGAAAGCACTACAAACGTAACTTTATCTCCAGTCACAATCGAGCAGTTTATATTTTAATTCTTTGTTCTTACTCAAACACAAAACCCCCAGCCAAAGAAAAGGGGGGGGGGAGGGGAATCAATATTTCCAACCTAGAACAAACCTTCCTCTGCTGTCAGATTTTTTTGGTTTAATCGGTGCTAGATTAATGTCCATGTCAGACTACAGGTGGATGAACCAGGATGAACGCCCCTCGCGTTCTCCTCTTTCTCAACGAAACCCATGCGACACACGTAATATGGTTCCACCTCCCACCACTTCCCCCGCTTCTGGCCATCCACCACGTCCTTATTTTGGAAACAGCAGGGGCCAAAGCCCAGCCCAAAATCAGAGGAAAGTTCAGTGGCCTTGTAAAATCACCGCTGGTGGAGAGCAAAACATGTGTTGTTCATAGGATGGAAGGGTTTAATGTTGGGAAGGAAGAGTGATTTCAAAGGCTGCACCCAACCATACATACATCTGATGTACTGGGGTGTGTGTGGCTATTGCGCGAGACCACCAATGCTGACAAGGGCCAAAGGAAAAAAGGGGTGAGGCAATCCCACACTGATAAGAGTAGAAGAACATACTAAATAATTAACTTTTTCTTTTTTTTTCCTGACCTGAGTTTCCATCCTACCTTGCGCTGTAACAGACATGGGCACTGTATGGGCAAAGGGTGAGGATGGTTGTTAAAGAGGGCAATACATACCAGGCATGAGTGTAGATTGGCAATGTACGTCTCCCCCATCAGCCCCACCAAGAGTGCTTTAGCCCAAACAGATGGTAGCATATATTTAAAAACAAAAACAAACCAACAAAAAAGAAAAAAAGAAAGAACAGAAAGGAGAAGACAGAAAAGGAGAGAAAGAAAAAAAAAATCCAGGAAAATCTTTAAAAAGTGTTAAACAATTGATGGCAAATCATGATTTCAGATACGGCGGTTTGAGAAAGAGGCGGCAGGCGAAGATTAGAAGTTCCACATTATAGTACAAAGCATAAGAAATTCATCGGGGATGGAAGGGTAGGAAGGGGGAAAGAGGGTAGACCTGAAGATTTTTTCATAGATTAAATCCACAAAGATAAAGAACAAAAAAATAGCAGCTTTTTTTTTTCTGTACAGACATATAGATGAGTATCTGAACTGTAAAAAAGTTATAAAAGTGACACGAAGAGACAATGTGTATGCAAATGAGCCATGGTCTAACATAGAACTGCAAGACCCTTTGAAGTCTTAATAACAGAGAAAAAAGGTCATCAAAGTGTTAGATGCCTGAATCCGTTTAATTGGCTATTCTTCTCCCAGTTTAGTGTTTCTCTAAGTTTTTTCTCTTCCCCGCAAGCCTGCCAAGGACCAGAAGAAATCACTCACGGCAATCCCTCCTGTTTTGTCTGTCTGTATTTCCATTCTGGAGTGCTGTGCTGAATTTCTGCCCGAGATACGTCTCTCCCCCGCCCTCTCACTTGGCTCGTCCATGCCAGTTTCGTCCAGAATGTAAGGATGGGCTGTTTATTCAACTCCATCCCTTATGTTCTCAACCATGTTAAAAAAAAAAAAAAAGAGCAGGTTTTTGTCCAGTCAAAAGAACATTTTTTTTGAACTTTTTAAAAATGCCAGTGTACGATAGGAGTGTATTGGTCTGTATGCTGTTTCAATGGAGCATATGATTATTTACTCCCTCCATGCCTACAAAAAACCAAAACAAGAAAAAACCCTAAAAGAAAGTTCTTTTGGGCAAAATTTGGCAGCGCTGGAAAAAGAATGACCCTTCCGTCTTTTATGTGATCCTAAAAAATTTAAGGAATAAGAGTAAAAATCCAGTCTTTTTGTTTTTATAACAACCTACAGTGTTAGGCAGGTGCTTGCAAGGGAAACAGGAGAGCTGGTTGGCCTGCAATTTTCTTGGATATAATTTTAAGAAAAAAAGTGTCATATAGTTGAACTTCACACAGACATGTTTCCCATTATGAAGCAGAGAGAAAGAAGAGAAAAGGGAGACACACATCAGATTCTCAAGTTTTTCTGTTGCTATTAAGTGTTAATATTAAAAGTTTTAGAAGGCTGACTGTGCCCCACATACAGAGTTCTTTTGCTTGAAACAATCTTCTGCTTGCATATTGAAAAAAAAAAAGGAAAACAAAAAGTTATTTCAACTTCTAATCGAAGAGAGGATTCTCCTGTGTGCAGTTATGACAGTTCTTGAAGATCCACTGAGGTACAGTTGGCTTTTGAATTTATTGTTATTTTCTTCCTTGCTTCATTTGCTCTCTTTCCTCCCACCCCACCCCCTTCGGATGCACGAGCATGTATGCATTTGCAAAAACCTGTTTCTCAGGGTCAGCAGGCTGAAGACTGCGGTAAAGGCAAAGCTCGTTCGTTCTTGCGCCCCCCGTTCATATGGGCGTACGACTGCCTCTCTTCAAAGCTGGCCCGCAGGACCACCACGCCTGGGCCGTTCTCGGCTTTGTGTCCTGAGTGTTTATCAGAAGGCTGGAGGGCGGAGGAAGGATCTAAAGGAATGCTCTCCATGTTCTCGGCCTCCAAGTCCAGCTCTTCGGTGTCGGGAGGCTTGTTCTCATCACTATAGAAGAAGGAGACCTCTTTGAAGGCTGGATCCAGCTCGTCCTTAATGCTACCAATGATCTCCAGGAAAGAGGGTCTCATCTTCGGGTTGTACTGCCAGCACATACGCATCAATTCGAAACTGGGAAGAGAGGAGAGGAAAGCAGACATTGAGAAGGACTGAATCTAGCTCTTGGTCAGCAGAGAATGTTGGTTTCATGACACTGAAGATCATTTGATGGGACAGCATGCAAATATGGTCAACTTCTGCTTTGGGTGGGAAAACGTACACACTGAATTATACCCTTTAAGACAAAAAAGGGATGGTTAAAGTTGACTCCCCATTCCCAACTAGCCTTGCTTGGCCTGGCATCCTTTGGCTATGGTGGCTGAGAGTTACCTACCCAATGTATCTGCAGGGCACCAGAGTAAGGAAGGATGCCAAGAACTTGCTACCTTCAAATACTGTTGATCCGATCAAAACGATCCAGATACCAGAATCAGGATTGCTCTAAGGCAAGGAATTGAGTACATACAGGTGTAAAGCAGCAGGCGAACAACTGTGTATGACAGTGTAGTTTCCTAAGCTGGTCAACTTCTATATTTCAGAGTTCTCCAACCATCATGGCGACTGCTGAGATTTCTGAGAGTTGAAGCCCACATGTCTAAAAGTTGCCCAGCTTGGAAACACCCGTGTATATTTATCACGCTGTGTGTCCTATGCATCCAGGCCAATTATTTCAATGCAATTATTTCCAAAGGATGGAAACAGAGAAGAATCACTGGCTTTCTTCCTAACACTGCCACCATGAACCATATTTTTGTATATAGTTAATAACTAACCCTTCATAAGCCAACTTAATTTAGAGCAGTGTTTCTCAACCTTGGCTGCTTTAAGCTGTGTGGACTTCAACTCCCACAATTCCCCAGCCAGCCATGTTCAGAAGGTGTCCATTCACTATGATCTGCCCAGGGTCCCCCACAGGAATAAAAACAGTTCAGCAAAACAATGGTTAGAGATTACAGATGGAAATACCACAATGCAGGAATGACAGAACATTGCAAAAATGGTAACACTGACCTGTCTAAGGAGAAGACAATAACTACATTCATCAATGATTGGAAACTGTTTATGGACTTTTTGCTAAAAATGGGGGGAAAAGGAACTTCTGATGTATGGGTTTGATGATTAGAACGGGTAAAATATGGAAAGAAGGGAGTGACGATGTAATTTTAAAGAGAGGATAAAGTATAAATGCTTTTATAATTGTGGTAAAGAAGATCAGAAGCTGCTCCTTCATATTTTTCCCTTCCCTTCCCTTCTTCTTTTTATCTATCCACCATTTTTCTTACTTTCCCCCCCTAAGTTTGCATTGCTTTTATTCTGTAAAGAATTCTCAATAAACATTCATTAGCAAAAAAAAAAAGATCTGTAATCCAGATCTGAGGTGTAGCAAACTTGATGGACGCCACTAGGTTTGGATACAAACATTACAGCCAGCAACCCCCAGGGAGGTTACAAAGCCACACCAATTTAAGTGGTAGCACAACGCTGTCCCCCTTCTTAAAGGCAAAACAAGGTTTCATGGATGTTGGGTTTTATTCCACCTTCCCTTATGTGAGAGTCGCCAGCCTGTAGCAACTATCAGGGCTCCCTGCTGAGTCCTCCCAGCCCGTTTCGGTCACTTCCCTGGCTGACTTCTCTGCCTCTGACTAAAAGCACCAGCTGGGACCAAGGACAGGGGATATCAGCGCTTCGCCCAGTTGCTTGAAGGGAACTGTGGAGGAGGTGCCACAAAAGGCCAGCGGGACATGCGTGCCAGCAAGCCCATGTGACACTTCCTTGAAGCCACTCCACTGCTTCCCCCTAAAAGGAAGTTTTCCTTACCCGGTGGGTTAGAAGGCCTTGTTTACAGGGCCTTGGACACAGAACGCTCTTCCAGAAATGGAGGAAGGGAGACGTTTGTAAACCGAGGGAGCTATTCTGCTCCCATCACGAGGAAGGAATGAAAACACTCTTCTAACAGCACCCTCCTTGCGCATGCTGCATTCAAAACCAGGTCTCAGCTGCTGCTGCTGCTGCTGCCCTTTGATTTCTGGCCAGACAGTCTCCAAACCTCTCCTGGTCCCGCGTGGATTCACTGCCAACCTTCGTCCTAAGCAAGAAGGTGGTGGCATTGCTCCACGGGAGGAGAAGTGCACCGTGGGGCCTCGTTCTTGGGAATTTTTTCTTTTTAAAGTATACTTGCTTTGTATTCAGCACTGGGCTTCCTGGGGTGTTTTTGCTTCAGCTGATTGTTTTAACAGAACTTTTATATGTTCATAATGACCTTGCATGCATGTATGTGCGTGTGCACCAGTGAGGCCATGAAAAGTGGTTCCTAATTGAATGAATGAAGAAGGAAGGGCAGAACAACATGGTTCTTAGCCAATGCGCTGCCTGGAAGCTGAATTCCAACATATCTGGAGGGGCCAGGTCAGGAAAACAGCTTCAACAGCTATTTACTGGGGCAGAAATGGGATGGACTGTAATCGGTCACTTGCAGAAAGGGGCTGCTGGAAGCTTAGCCAGCCATTGAGAGTAATTTGATAAACTTAAGGGGGGGGGGAAGAAACTCAATTCCTTCATCCAAGAATCCTATCAATTTATACCTATTAGCCATTCCCTGTTAAACAGCAGTTAAATGCTATCCTCAGACCAATCCCCCACCCTAATGACCAAGGTTTATACTTCATTTCACTCTCAATTGCTGGGGGGGGGGGGAGGGGAAAGAGGGGCTGGCTTGTTTTATTAATAATACTCTTCCCCATCAAAATAATGAATTACTATTCAAAGTATGAAGAATGAAAATTGGAGCCAGTTGGGTCTAGGGGTGAAGGC